TGGTGAAAATGAAAGTGATGACAGTTTGCTATTGAGCTTAAGGAATATTCAATACGAACTTGCTTGGGAACGATGCAGGCAGCTTCAGGCTGAGGATGTTATTGTCAAGGCTAAGGTTTGTTTGTAACTTCTTTGCTACTCTTGTGGTTTCTGTGGTTACAGTTTCAGGAATTGGATTGTATGTGTAGGTTATTGGTGCTAACAAAGGTGGATTGGTGGCTCTTGTGGAAGGTCTTCGTGGATTTGTGCCATTTTCGCAGATTTCATCGGTTAGTAGTTGCCTCAGAACTCTTAAAATTTTAAGGATTATCAATAAGCAGGTTTTGTCAGCCGGAATCTTAGTTGATTTTAAGACAAAACACAACCTGATATATATGAAATGTGTTTTCTTCTACATTTTTGTCAGAAAGCAGCAGCTGAAGAGCTTCTTGAAAAAGAAATACCTCTCAAGTTTGTGGAGGTTGATGAGGAACAAACAAAGCTTGTCCTCAGCAACCGTAAAGCTGTAGCAGACAGCCAGGCTCAGCTTGGAATTGGATCTGTGGTCCTCGGAGTTGTTCAGAGCTTGAAACCCTATGGTGCCTTCATTGACATTGGTGGAATCAATGGGCTTCTTCATGTCAGTCAGATCAGTCATGACCGTGTCTCAGATATCGCAACTGTTCTCCAGCCTGGTGACACTTTGAAGGTGATATACAGATATTCTTTAAAAAAATTATTTCAGATGTTAAAACAACAGTCCCCAACTTTTAATGTACAGGTTATGATACTGAGTCACGACCGTGACAGAGGAAGAGTAAGTCTCTCCACAAAGAAGCTGGAGCCAACACCTGGTGATATGATTCGCAACCCAAAACTTGTGTTCGAGAAGGTAACTCTATTTCCATTAAAATACTTTCCCTATTTAATTTTTTGTCTCAATCACTTGCTACTTTTCTGCTGTCTCAAGGCTGAGGAGATGGCTCAGACATTCAGACAGAGAATTGCGCAAGCAGAAGCCATGGCTCGTGCAGACATGCTTCGCTTCCAACCTGAGGTATGATTCTCCACTTGCCTGATCTCGTTTATCCATGCTTATTGATTTCTTATTGCAATTAAGCTCCAAATATTGTACATGTTTAGTAACCATCTAAGATTTTTTCCTTTTACATTAATCATCACAAATGAGTTTCGGTATGTTGGTTTGTTTAACCATAACCATAGAAGCTTCTAATTGGGGGAGGATAATTAACTCATGTTGTGTGTTTGAGCAGAGCGGACTGACGCTGAGTTCTGACGGGATACTAGGACCCCTCGGATCTGAGTTACCAGATGATGGCGTAGATCTAACGGTCGACGACATTCCTTCTGCTGTTGATCTTTAGATTCTAAAGCTTTAGTGTATTTTTTCATACACAAAAACACCTCCTTGAGCTTAATTGAATATGTAGTTACTCCTACAGGACATTGTATTATGTTCCAGATCTACCAGTCTTTTGCAATCGATATTTTCTATTCCAATATCAAGAAATCAACAGAGTTTCTTCTCTCCAAATCAATTAGAAAAGACAAAATACACATGATACAATGTCTGAAAATATCGATTACAAAAAACATTGTTAATAATTAATATGAATTTAATCATAACCCTATCAATCTTATTATAAAGAAGCACAAGGGGGAATCTTGAGTTTCTTCTCTCCGAATCAAGTAAAACAGAGACACCAACCGTCACTTCTTCTTCAACCCACTTTTACATTTTGCTTACACCAAAGCTTTCCTCTCTAAAGGATTTGTCTTTCTTAAGGATGTTGAGTAGAGTAGGGATGACCTCGATGCGTTTGCTGCCCATATCAGGGACATGTCTCCAAGACATAAATGGGCCAAAGCTGATTATGAAGGTGTGCGTGAAGTGGGGTACTATGATTTGAAATTCAAAACGTTAGATATCTCTAAATTGGAGAATGTGATAGGAAAAATCGCTAGTTATGTACATAGTATTGATAGAGGAGCTTCACATTGTTAAGCAGAAGATATTTTCATTATCGATTACAATCTAAGAGCCAACTTGTTAGGTAAAGTAGTTTATGGTGCAATAGACTGTGTTGATCTATCTTTCAGAGTTAACTGGATGTCGAGAGATCATGGTCAGGTTTTATACTCCAGTAATCCAAGAATTTTGAAGATACCAGATGATTTGGGGAGGGTATTACATGAGGGTAATGTAATAGATTTTTAAAGCTTTTAAACCTCTCATACAACAAGATCTCTGGATTGATCCCACAAAGTTTTGGAAATTTTGAGAAGGCAGACCTTAGACCTTTCACACAACAACCTCTCAGGCGAAATCCCGCAGACACTTTCCAAGCTCAGGGAGCTGAATGTATTGGAGTTGAGAAACAACAAACTTACAGGTAGAATCCCTCAGAGTCCTCAGCTAGACAGATTGAATGATCCAGATATTTACTCGAACAACAACAAACTATGTGGAATGCAAATCCAAGAACCATGCTCTACACAGACCAAGCAGCCAGAGGAAAATAAAGAGGAAGCAATGTTTTCATGGAAAGCTGCAGTCATAGGTTGTCCTTGTGGATTTTCGAATGGCAGTTGTCTTAATGTATATGGTTGGCTATTTCAGCGATTTTCATCACCACCACCAAGGCGACCTCTCAAGAACAGAGGACTGAAGAAATCAAAAACTCTGTTTTCTTAAAATGAAATGGAAGATTATTCAGATGCTATAGTAACACTGAAAAAAATACTAAAAGAAAACAGTTTGTGAGCAATCCCTTTTAAAACCACTGTGGTCAATGAATTGATGTTATCAAGAGAGTTAAACAAAGTATTGTCTAAATCACTTTCCAAAAAGTTGGTTTTTGATCCTCCGTTGTTTACTCTATGAAAACAGAATCGTTGAATGAAACATTGCCAGCATACAAATTCACAAAATTTTGTGTATTTTTGGTGACATGAAGGGTTTCAAAAGAACCCAAAACCTCAGAATATGACTCTCAATTGTATCTAAAAACACCTACTTCATCAGATTGAAGAAATCTTAATTTCATTCTCAGCTGGCTAATAATATAAGCAAGACAAAATTTTGTAAGTTTTTTTCTTATCATTACCTTCTTCTTCACATAGACGAACAAAAAGTGAAGTAATCTACTATACATTTTTTGAGCAGTTTTAAGGAATCCAATCGGGTCAGATTTTTTTTTAGGAGGGGTTATTGGTTCATTGATTTATAAGGAATTAGAAATCCAAACAAAAATCATTTGTTATTCAATCATTGATTTTAAAATCCTAATTAAAATCATGTGTTATTGGTTCTATGATTTATAAATACTAGTTAAAATCCTATGTTATTCATTTAGTCATTTGTTTTTGGGTTTGAGAATCCAAATTATGTTTTAAATGGATTTGTATGGAATTGAAAGAGAAAAATAGAAGGATTCAAATTCATGGGTAAACACATGTTATTTCAAAATCTATATATCTTGATTTCATAACTAATAGAAATTTCCAAATCCTATATGAATTTACAAATTAATAAACACCCCCTTAATTTTGATCCAGAAATCTTCAATCGCAACTTTCCTTAAATGTTGGCAAAATTTTAAAACGAAATTATTTAATAAAATCTAAAAATATATATATTCTCAACTAATTACTATAACTAAACTCTTTATTTATGGCATATTCTCTACGATATTTATAGATAAGGAAATCAAATATGATGATTTAATAGTAATATAAAAAAATTGAGCTAATTTCCTAAAACCTCTATACCTAATTTAAATATAAATATATGATTCTCATTTCACTTTTATATGATTTTATATTTATATTATTTTGAACTATTATAAAATATCTATATATACATTTTTGGTGAAGATTTGGCCTCAAAAATCCTTTTACAATTTCAATATTGTACATTTAGTCCCTACAAATAAAATCTGGAAAAAATATATGTCTTAATCAAATTTACAAATCAATAAATAAACTCTTAAAACATTTCCTATTTTTATGGTTACAAGATTTGAGATCTTAACATATGGAAGTCAAATATTCAAAATTAAAACTATTAATAACCATAATCTCGGACGAATCTACTAAATATAAACAACTAACCAAAACCTATTCGTAATCAAATCTTGAAATCAAAATTTTTAATTTTAAATGCTATTAAACATAATCTCGAAAAAATCTAGCAAATGGAAACTATTAAAACAATAAAATCGAAATCAAATCTAAGTTGATTTTATAAAAATAATTAATCCACATTCCATATTTAAAAATGCATGTTTAAGAAGAAATAACTTACCATATTATTTAAAACGTTTTAAATATGTGTAATATTACTACGAGATTAATAGAAGATATTATCCCCATATCTCGCTTAAATATTAACTTTCCTTAAACACATTCAATTTTTTTTTTACGATTTTAAAGATATGTGGTTTGTATTTATTACTATAATCTATAATCTTGATTGATTAATCGAATAAGATTTAATGCTAACAATAAATATTATGTGCAAATCATAATTGGTTAAATAATTAAAAGCATATCCTCTACAGATTTGTTAAACAATATATATAGTCTATATATTTTAAAGATCACAATCTTTCCAAAAACAAGATAATCAGTTATTCAATCACAATATTTCGGATTTATTAGTTTCCTCGATAAGATTTGTGTATATCAAAATTTAACTTCACCACCAAGAAAATAACAATAATTTAGAAGGCCTAAACTTATATGATCTCTATATAAGAAATGTCAAGAGCAGTCATTTCATTCATCTACACACATTTCTGTTTAACAAATTTCAAAGTTTTTCAAGTTATCTATCATTTATTTCTCATGGCATCTTTTAGGAGTCTTTCAAACTTGAAACCCTTTAAGAACATGTAGAAATAAAGGTCAAGATTATAAGATTTTGAAAACAATACTTTGTTTTTCTGGTGAAACAATAGAAATAGTACTAACAAAGTTTTTGTTTCTTTTCTTTTGTAATAAGAACTTTCATATTTTCTGTTTTGTTTTTGTGATTATAACCATACAAAGATTATTTTGGTATTGAATACTGATTGGATTTGTTATGTCTAATGCAGATTTTCATTGGTCTATGTCACTTACGGATTGAATTTGTCATGTTTCGCCGTGTTGGCCCCTATGTCACTTCCGAGGTATACATCTCATCTCTAATCCATTAAATCTTAGACCATGATAACATATTTTAATCATAGAGTTACCTCTCTATCATTTCTTCATATTCTCTAACTTGAAGAATGTCAAGGAACGAATCCACCGCCGTCGTCTCTGTTGTCACGCCGGAGAAGACCATTATTTCCAAATGCGGCGATTCACGTGATATGCTTTGCCGTGACGGCGTAGCCAGTCCTCTCTCCGTGGATCACAAGGTTTTAAAAACAAAGCTATATATAAGAAAGAATTGGTTAGTATCAATCAAGATCGTATGATTCTAAGAGTTTTTGTGTAGTGATGAACAGCCGGATCGACCCGATGAATTGATTCGGATCCAGCAAGCAGGTGGGCGGGTTATTATTGGGATGTAGCTAAGGTTCTTGGAGTTCTTGCCATGTCTAGAGCAATTGGTGAGTGAATCTCTCTTTGTGATTCGAATTCGTAAAGCTATTTTAATAACATGTTTGAATTAAAACTGTTGATTTTTGTTTTTGTTTACATAGGCCATATTTACTTGAAACCATATGACGACGACGACGGATCCGAAAGTAATAGTGACAGATGGAACCGACGACGACGAGTGTTTGATCTTGGCGAGTGATGGACTATGGGTCGTTGTACCAAATGAGACAGCGTTATGGCATGGCTCGCGTGTGCCCTCGAGGTACTGGTAGAGCGGATGGTGATGATTCCGTTGCAGCAGCGACACACAATGCTTGCTCTGATGCTTCGTTGCTATTAACGAAGTTGGCTCTAGCAAGACCGACCTTCGATAACGTGAGTGTTGTGGTCCTGTGGTTGACAGGAGGAAGAGGAGGAATAATCAACCATCGTCATAATATTTAGTGTTTAATTAGTATTAGTATTAGAGAAATTTTCACATAGCCTAATTGTAATTTTTATATCAAGTTATCCTTTTCCCCTTTTTCAATATTTGGTTTGTATATTGTTTTTTCAATTTGATCCTAATCTGGATTTGATAACACTTCTTAGGATTCATGTGATATATTATAAGAGATTGTGTTTGATAAAGAAGATGTGAGAGGAAGAAGCTCTATACGGTTTGTCACTTTAGAATAATCAAATTTTTAGCTTTTGATTATTTTATGGTTTTTGTTTTATTGTGAATAATAGCTTTTATAACTTTTTGATTATAAATATTTTTAACTTGCTAAATTTTTTTAATGATCATAGATCATATGATGGAGCATCACACCAAAAAAAAAAATCATATGATGGAGCTGGTTAGAATTTTCATAAATACAATAATATAGTTTTGATATACACAAAATTAAAAAAAAAGTTGATAATATTAATAATATTTGAATTCCATAAAAATTAAAAATATATTAATTATGAAACTATTTAAAAACAAACTTTTAAATTTACTTAAATTATATGTCTTTTAAATAAAAGTATTGTTCAAAAAATAACAAAATGATGTTTAGTTTCACATGACGGGGTTATATGGGGAGACGGGACGGTATACCACGGGTGAAGTTATAGAATTAACAATCAAAATACAATTATACAATCTTAAAAACTAAACAAAACAAACAATATTAACAAAACAAATGCAACTTAATATTTAAATATACAACAAACACAATAAGATGATACGTTATTTGCACACGTCGTGGTACATCGTCGCCTACTAAATAGTAATCTCATTTTTCTTTATTATTATAAATATTCAAACATACAACATACTAATCATACAATTAACACTATATAGATTTCTATATACGTTCTAATCACACATGTAAATAGGTTATATAAAGACTTATTACATTTAAAACCTATATTGATTTTTCTCAAACAAACATATATTATTTTTTAAAAATAAAAATATAGTCCCGCGGTGTACCGCGGGTCAATCCCTAGTATATATATATATAATTAATAAATTTTTGATTTTTTTCTGCATATGTTATGATTCAAATTTTTTAAAACAGACATATATTACTCAATCGATAAAGAAAAAAAGGAAATTTGGATATAAAGGATAAATAATTTAATTATTGTCCATCTATGCATTCTATATTCATAATTGATCATATATACTTAAATATTGGTCATATATGCTTTAATATAATTAAAATCCCATTTTATCCCTAGTTTTTTAAAATCTTGCTAAACTATCAAAAAATTCCAAAATTAATTAGATTTCTTTCTAAAAACTATTTGGAGAAAATATAGGGCAAAAACAATATTTATTTACTTACCAAATTTTTTTGCCTAGATAATTCCAAATCTTCTTCTTGTTTGATTTTTTTTTTACGTTAACTTCTTCTTCAATTCTTTGACGGCAACTTCTTCTTTGATTTTCTCTTTTTGTAGTTTTTTGGATTTCTTCAATTCTTTGGAGCTTGTATATCCAGATAAGAAGAACGAAACGAGGAGAATAAGAGATAAGAAACAAAAGAAGAGACGTCAAAGTGGAAAAATAGACTAGGGTAATCTATTCACTTATGTATAAAGCATTCTAAACTAATTAGAATGCATGTTCTAAAATTTGTAGACGTAATCTTAACCTTAATATTCAATTTTATCAGATGTAATCTTAACAATATTCAATTTCTTTATACATATTGTTCTAAACGGCAACAAAAATGATATATTTCGACATTATAATTATCCTCATGACTTCTTTTTCATTTGCTTACAAATTGTTCTAAATTTTATTTGAAAAACTAGTTAAACCAACTACAAAGGGTAAATTAGGAATATGTAATATTTAGTCATAGAATGCATAGATGGACAATAGTTTAATTATTTATCCTTTATATCCAATTTTCCCAAAAAAAAAGTATGTGTACAATCTATATTAACATTTTTGAAAAACAAATTTGCGCGTTTAATCAGATCGTAATTTTTTATTTACTTTGATCCAAAATTGAGTCATTCGGATATTTCCTTAAGTTTTACAATTATTCAAAACGGGACAATATACCATGGGTGAAATTCTAAAATTAATAAATCAAAATATAATTATTTAGTATTTTAAGATATAATTATAAAATATTTTTATGGGTTGGTCTAAAAACACACACTAATTTAAAAAATATATATTATGGAAACCTTTTGAAAGCAAACTTTTAAATTGACTCGAATTAGATGTCTTTTAAATAAAAGTGTTATTAAAAGAAATAATAAAATGATGTTTAATTTTACGAGACGGGATTCTATGGTGGGACGGGTTTGGATTGATATTAATATGGGAAAATATATCTCGGGTGAAATTCTAGGATTAACAAATCAAAATACAATTATACAATTTTAAACACTAAACAAAACAAATATAACTTAAAATTTTCATTTTTAGTTACAACGCATGTGATCTGCGGTGTACAACAAAAAATATTATATACTACAAATTCATCAGTTTATATATATTATCGGCAATCTGTAAGTGAGCTGGTAAGTATATGGTAGGAGCTATATCTCTACTATTTTGAGTAAATATATTATAGGATACTACATATCCTAGTAAATTTATTATCAATGGAAGGTAGGAGCTATATCTCTACTATTTTGAGTTTTTTAGCCAATCAGATCGCTCCATGTCATGCCCCACTCTTACCCATCGCGCAGATTCACGCCCACTCTCACCACTCGCGATATAACCCACCAAATCGCTTGTTTTGCAATACACTCGCTCCTTTTTTAAAAAGCCTCGCGTGCGTGATTTTTGGTTACCAAACCTTATTAAATGCAATGCAAACAGACAATTGTAATCTCAAAACCAATTTAAACCAAACCGAAATCAATTCTATTTTCAAAACCAATGTAAACCTAACCGTACATCCCAACGGGAAAGATTAGACAACAAAAAGAGGAGAAATCAAACGTACCTCCAAGAAGAATGAGAGCGTTTTCGGAGCCAGGATTAGGTTCTACTTACCTTTTGACATCCTCACTCCTCAGCTACCTCATATGGCCACCCAAGGTTCCTTCTCCCAAGCGCAGCTCCATGGACATTGTATGAGTTTGGGAGAACCATAACCAATTCTAGTAGTGACCTAAAATCATGCCACAAAACAGAGTTATTACCAAAGGCCTTGAGATCAATCAAACATTGCTTACTGAGTTAATGGCTAACAAAAGTGTGCAGTTTATTTTTTTATTGGTATAAAGTCAAAATTTGGTCATCAGACTCAAAATTGTGCTTATTGGTTTAAAGTCAAAAATTGGTCATCAGATTCAATAAAACGATTGAGCAGATGAATCATGATGATGTTGTTTCCAAACCGTTTCAACTCTACCAAATAGGTAATCTCATAGATTCTCAATACCTGATGAGTCTTTGGTGCTACATGAGCTTGTTGTATCCGATGAGCTAAACATAGACGATAGACTCCCACTCGACCAGTCCACACGTGGCAACAAACTTTTTTCCATGTCTCTATCTTTGCTGTTGTCGTGCCTTAACGGAATTGCGGCCAAATTCCTTCTTTCCTTTGATTTTCGACCACCGTTGTTGCTCACCGGTCTCAGAGAATCTCTGTCAAAGAAGAGGATTTCCTCAGATTTATGATGTATGTCCTCTCTTTGTATTCACCTTGCATAAAGAAGCATTTATGCTCCTTCTAGTAATACAGTCTCCAATTGAACCGCGAAAACCTGCGAATTCGGATTCAAAATCAAGATTCGAGAAGAAATAAATAGCATCATTGGTATATTATAAATGATATTTTGAGACCTACATTGCTGCCATCAATTTTGAACCAATCTTGAACCATGACGGGTTTTATGTAGCAAACATACATAATGACCTGAAAATGAAGTGTTCATAGCATCCAAATGGACTACCACTGCATAGAGGCTATACACGGGATGATCACTATGATTTGTATCACTCATATACGGGAAAATATCGAGAAGCTCGGGAAAATAGATGGGTTTGCTCAGCTTCCCAAAGTTATCCGACTGCATGAAAAAGAAATCATTCTTCTGAGTAAACCCAACAATAGTAGACACCATCAAACTAACGAGGATGAAGACTCTCACCTGAAAACATTTCAACACGACAGTAAGAAAATCGGGTCCTTCCAATATCATTAATTTCTTTTTGGCCTTCTGGTAGGATTTACATCTATTGTTGAAAAAGGAAAACCGAAGGCAAAGGAATTACTAGTAGTTTTTTAACGTATACAATTAGTTTCCAAGAGAAAAATTCAACTACCTGAAGTATCAGTTCTCTCCATCTAGGACTTCGTAGGCTATAACTTGAGCAAGTGCTTCTTCGAGGCTTCCTATATCCCCATCAATCTCTACACTGAGATCCATCATCAGCTCAGATTTGTGGAGGCATTTAATCTCTGTATTATTCAACATAAAAATGTCAATTATTTGAACTGCCATGAAACAACAAAAAAGCTTAAAATGGTACTAAAGCCAAGAAACTGTTGCTGCCTTGGAGTGAAGATATCCACCAAACGTAAAGTAGTTTCTTCAGCAAACGGACCAGCTGCATGAGCCTCTTTGAGAAAAACATATTGCATTGTCTCAACAGCATACCTGGCATTCTTATGAAAGAACAATGTAACTCACCTTTGCAAAAATACTGACCTTTGAAATACTGATAAAAGTTACTAAAAGCATAACTCCATATGATTCACCTTAAAAACTCGTGTGCTTTTTCTTGTTTTCCAGGGCTAAGATTATTCCCAATCTTTTGTAATTTAGATAAGATCTTGATAGGTGAAAGAGGAGATTCTCCTCCCCTTGCCTTTAAAATTAAGTGTTCAAACTCACATACAAAACACCAACTCGTTTTTTTACCTGAAACACCAACTATGAATATAAGATTCCACATAGTTTCAGTAAAAGCGGTTTAAGTTATGTTTGTGTTCTACTCACATGTTTTAGAGTGTAATCCCCTAATAAGGTATGATATTAGTAGCCGAGTGAATGCCAAGCACTGAAGGACAACATCTGCATAACAGCTACAAAAGTAATAATCTAAGTGATAAGCATAAATATACTTAAAAGAGAAGAACTACATTAAAAAATTGTCAGTCAACAACTTAATAGTATTTTTCTTAAAACTACTATTGCTAAATATCATCATGCTATAAGTAAGAAAAGTTAAAGATAGATCGACTTGTACATGTTCCCTAAGTTCACAAGGCCAAATGGATGTAATTGTACTTTATCACAATAAAATTTCACAAAGAGCAAGTCATACCAGAAGCTCATCTGCTCAAGAAAACAGAAACATGAATGGGATAATGGCATTAGACAAAATCTTCCAAGTGGTTTTGTCGATGGATCCTCATCAACCATTTGTAATTAATTTTTTTGGTGAATTGAATGGATTTCAAAATAACCCAAAACCTCCAATAGAATCAATTGTATCTAAAATGAGATTGAGAGACGTAAAATTGTATCGAATAGAATCAATTGTATCTAAAAAACAACAACTTTCATCAGATTGAGAGAAGAAGACGAAAAAACTAAATAATAACATATATGAGAGGACCTAGCAACATGTCTACTATTTCACTTTTTTAAAAGTTTTTCAGCCAATGAGACGGCTTTCACAACCACTCGCACAAAGTGCGCGTTGCGCGAGTATGAGCAATTCTGTAGGTGTACCCCTTTCCAAATCATGCCTCTTTCGATCGACGCACTTGTTTCCAAAATCCCCATCGCGTGAATATTTTTTTTTCTTCTCTAAACCAGTGTAAATCGAACCGAAAATCAATTCTAATTTCAATACCATGTAAACCGCACCGAAATCAATTTTAATTTCAAAACCAATGTAAACCTACTAACCGCTTGTCCTCATCAGAAGATTTCTTCGATCCCTCCGACGAACACACCACATCCAATGTCAAGAACAACAAAGCTGATACATATCAGGAATCATCTACAAGTACAACCACAAAAACACAGTAACTTGAGATTCAAGTGAACACAGATACAAATAATGATTCATTGAAATCGATTAACCTGGGAGATCTGATCCATCAGCTCCATGTCTAAACTGCATACTACCACCACCAAGAAACTTGAATTTGTCATTCTCTTTATAAATGTGATGGAGATCTTCTGATCTAAGTATTGATCAGCTCCACCAGGAAACTTGAATTTGTAATTCTCTTTATAAATTCTATCTTTGGCTACATTTGTCTTCAATATGTGCACACCTGTAAACAAAATCAGAAACTTTCCTTAATTTGGGAATACAATCAAACCAAAACACAAAGCTTCACATATGTACCTTGATAGGTTATGGTTTCCAATTGACTTTATCATGAAGATGAATGAAGCTGAAATTAACTAAGTGTCGAAGAATGAGGTAAAGGAAAGCTTCTAGTTATAAGAGAGGCTTTCATTATTTACTAAGTGTTGTCGTTTAACCTTAGGTTGCCCTAAGCTAAGTTGTATTTAACGTTGAATCCCATTTAGAGGAGTCCTTATCTTATGAAGATCAATCAATTAAGCAAACATTTCTATCTCTCTTATCTTCTTCTCCGCCATTAAAGGCGCATTCTCTATCTCTTCTCTTCTTTTTGGTTACGATTACTCTTCGATAGGCTTCAGAGTTTATCATTGGTGATTTCGTTGAGAGCCACAGTTTTTGTTTTTCTATGACTGTGGGTTATCGACATCTATGTCGACAATGTTTGTAAGCAGTGAACAAAGAGCAATCTTCGAGGAGATGCTAGTTGAATTTGATCGCTTGCAATCAATATTCCAATCAATATGGAGAGAGGATTTAAAGCGACAGCAAAAACTGATGGAAATCTTAGAAATATCAGATCACATTCACCAACAACAACAGAAACAAAGATCTCTGTTCAAGAAGAAGAAGAGTTGAAGAAGAAGAGTCAAAACGAAGAAGAAGCATCGAAGAACAAAAGTCAAAAAGACAACATAAATGTCTTGGGCTTGGCTTCATCATCAAATAAGGAAAATGTAAACAAATGTCTCCAAAGGCCCATCAACAGTTCAAGCCCAATATCAGATTCAAAAACACAAAAGAAGATTCCAGAAACTCAGTCAAAATCATGTGCCTTACAGCTCATCAACAAGGAAACTTCAAGGGAGCTTCCTCCCGTACTATGCAATCATTATCAAGCTCTCTTATCACTAAATGATGATGATAAGATTGACAAGTGTCAAATTATGGTTGCATAGGATTAGTCTATAAAAAGAAACATAAGTTGCAATCGAAAAATGAGTGAGTAAAATCAATAAGAAAAGTTGTCATCTTTACCTTTCACTCAAGGTTGCTATTTTGTCTTCATGGTATCAGAGCCTCTCTAACCTTCACAGGTAATAAATGGAGGGGACTGAAACTTATCCTTTCCCATCAAGGGTTCATGTTGTCAGCACTGTCACATTAAAGCTGAATGACAGGAACTACTTGATGTGGAAAACTCAGTTTGAATCTCTTTTGAGCACTCACAAGCTTCTGGATTTTGTAAATGGTCGTCAGCTGCGCCCACCATCAACCATCGAAAAGAAGAATGGAGATGTAGTGGAGATTGTTCCAAATCCCTGGTATGAATAGTGGTACTACAGAGATCAGCTAGTCAGGTCATGGCACCTTGGCACGCTCAGTGAAGAGGTATTGGGTTATGTCTTTAATCTTGCTTCTGCTCATGAAATCTCGATCTCTCTTGCTGAAAATTTCAGCCAAAAATTCATCTGCAAGAGTGTTGAGTTAAGAAGAATCCTTCAGAGTATGGAAAAAGCAGGAAAAACTTATGTTGAATATTATCGTGAGTTTAGAGCTGTTTGTGACCAGCTAAGTTCTATTGGTCAGCCTGTGGAAGAGTCCATGAAAATATTTACTTTTCTAAATGGTCTGGAAAAGGAATATGATCCCATTGTCACTGTGGTTGAAGACTCTCTCTCACGCTTTTCTCTACCTACATTCAATGATTATGTGTCAACTGTTGGAAATTTTGATAAAAGACTCAGATCCAGAGAAGCTGTTTCTTCTTGTGAATTCTCACCTCATATGGCGTTTCAGACTAAACAGTTCTCTAGTCCTTCTGATTATAGCAACAACAGGGGACGTGGTGGTTACTCCCATGGTAATTCTCGAGGTGGAAGAGGCGGTTACTCCTTCAGAGGCAGAGGCTTTCACCAACAAGTGTCTCGGTCCAATAATTTGTCTGGTACAACAAATGGTCGTCCTATGTGTCAAATATGTGGAAGAATTGGTCATATTGCTTTAAAATGCTGGAATAGGTTTGACAACTCTTACCAGAGTGATGATCTCCCTCAAAACTTAGCAGCTCTTCAAGTTTCTGATCCCTCAGGTCGTGAGTGGCTAACAGATTCAGGATCAACAGCTCACATCACTGACTCTCAAGCCACACTACATAAAGCAACAGTCTACAATGGTCCATAATCAGTCATGGTAGGAAATGGAAATCAATTACCTATTACTCATGTTGGATCTCCAGTTCTTCCATCACCTTCAGATAACATACCTCTAAATGATGTACTGGTTTGTCCTGGTATTAAGAAGTCTCTTCTATCTGTCTCTAAATTATGTCAAGACTTTCCTTGTGGTGTATATTTTGATGGAACAAAGGTGTGCATTATGGATTTGACAACGTAGAGGGTGTTAACAAAAGGTCCACTACGTAATGGTCTGTATGTGTTGGAGAACCAGGACTTCATCACCTACTATTCAAGCAGACAACAAGCAACAGAAGATCTAATCTGGCACTATAGGTTGGGTCATGCAAGTTTTCAAGTTCTTCAACACCTACATTCAAGCAAGGGAAAGAGCAGCAAGAATCTCATTTGTGAACCTTGCCAAATGGGAAAGAGTCAAAATTTACCTTTTGTAGTTTCTACTTCCTCCACTGTTGAACCCTTGGAGAAAATTCATTGTGATTTATGGGGGTCCTTCACCGGTTACCTCTGTACAAGGATTCAAGTATTATGTCATTTTAGTGGATGATTTCACAAGATTCAGCTGGTTCTATCCTTTAAAATGCAAATCAGATTTCTACACTTTTTTTCTTCAATTCCAAAAGCTTATTGAAAATCAGTTTGGGAAAAGAATCAAGGTTTTTCAAAGTGATGGAGGTGGTGAGTTTGTTAACAAGAAATTTGGCCAACATCTAATTAATTGTGGAATAAAGCATTAGTTAGCTTGTCCTTACACTCCAGAACAGAATGGTTTGGTAGAAAGAAAACACAGGCATCTCACTGAGTTGAGTCTTGTCTATGCAATTTCACAACAAGGTACCATTACACTACTGGGTTGAAGCATATTACACTGCAAACTATATCATTAATCTCCTACCATCTGCTGTGCTAAAATTCAACATACCTTATGAGAAGCTTTTTCAACAGAAGCCTGAGTATACGTCTCTTCGAGTGTTTGGTAGTGCTTGCTATCCATGTCTGCGGCCATACACTGCACACAAGTTTGAACCAATATCACTGCAGTGTGTCTTCTTGGGTTACAATGCAAATTACAAAGGATAAAGATGTTTATATCTACCAACTGGTCGAGTCTACATTACAAGGCATGCAATTTTTGATGAGAAATGCTTACCCTTTAACGATAAGTTCAGACATCTGGTTCCTGCATACTCCTCTACCATTCTTCAGGTTTAGCAATCAGCTCTTCCCAACAAAGAGATTACAGCGGCTGTGCAAGAATCTCAGACAACTCCATTACCAACACTACAACACTCAGCCAGTGCAAGAAATAAGTCAAAATGAGACAGTCAATATTCAGGAGTCATCAACTCATGAACATATCAATACAGAGGAGCCTGCGCTTACCTCAGAAACAACCAATGTTCCACCACCTGAATCTCAAAACACTCATCCAATGGTGACACGGGGAAAAAACGGAATCAGAAAGCCAAACCCAAGGTATGTTCTTCTTGCCACAAAGAACATTCCTCCTGAACCAAAAACTGTTGCAGCTGCTCGTCGAGATCCAAATTGGACTACAGCCATGGGAGAAGAAATGGATTCAATCCATGTCACCAAAACATTCAGTCTAGTTCCTCCTACACCTGAAATGAATATTTTGGGCAGCAAATGGATATTCAAAACCAAACTCAATGCTGATGGTTCATTCGATAAATACAAGGCAAGATTAGTGGCAAAAGGATATGATCAAGAAGAAGGTGTGGATTTTCTGGAAACTTACAGTCCTGTGGTACGTACTGCAACAATCAGAATTGTTCTTGATGTTGCTGTTGCAAAAGACTTGAAGATAACTCAGCTGGATGTCAAGCATGCTTTCTTCATGGAGATTTGCACGAGGAAGTTTATATGTCTCAGCCTCCTGATTTGAAGATGCTCAAAATCCCTCATATGTGTGTAAACTGCACAAAGCTATATACGGGTTAAAACATGCGCCAAGGGCTTGGTTTGACAAGTTCAGTACCTTTCTCATGGAATTCGGTTTTACCTGTCGTAAAGCTGACCCTTCTTTGTTTGTGTATCATCGGAATGGTCAGCCTCTGGTCCTCTTATTGTATGTTGATGATATCGTCCTAACAAGGCAATGCTTCAGATTTTCTACAAAGCTTCATTGATCAACTTAGCTCAAAATTCTCCATGATAGATCTAGGTGCTCTTCACTACTTCTTGGGGATTCAGGTTCAGCGCAATCAAAATTGTCTGTTCTTGAGTCAAACCAAGTATGCTGAAGACATACTTCATCAGGCAAGTCTCTCCAATTGCAACCCTATGCCAACACCCTTGCCAGTAAAGCTAGACACCACTCCACATGGACTTGAACTGTTCAGCAATCCCACATTCTTCCGCAGTCTGGCTGGAAAATTGCAATATCTCACCCTCACCAGACCAGATCTCCAGTTTGCTGTCAACTTTGTCTGTCAAAGAATGCATGCTCCAACCAATTCTGATTTCGCCTTGCTTAAACGTTTTCTTCGATATCTACGAGGAACAACATCTTTCGGTCTTCACCTACACAAGACAAACAGTCTATCAATCATTGCCTACAGCGATAGTGACTATAATGGATGCAAAGATACAAGA